CTGCGACTGCTACTACTACTGCTACTACTACTGCTCCTACTGCTGCTCCTGCTGCTGCTACTGCCGCTACAGCTCCTACAGCTCCCGCTCCAGCTCCTGCTCTTGCTCTTGCTACTACCACTGCTATGCTACTACTGCGACGACGACAGCAACTACTACTGTTAGTACCACTACCGGCACGACATCGACGAATGCTACACAAGTCATTACCAAATAAGAAGACCATCCTCGTCCTCATGATTTTGCTGGACAGGAGGGCGACATCTGCGGCATTATCGAGGTGCTTGGGCTATTCTTTCCAGTATTCGGCAAGACCAAACTGTCAGCCCAGGACAATTTCTGAAGCCTGCCGCTCTGTCCTCCGAAATCAGAAGCCCGGGAGAAAGCTCATAGTATAGGGGCCTGCATAATTCCCTATACTATTTTGGTGGGTTTCTCATACCCCCCAAACCCTATTCTAATTATTGAGGCCTCTGTATTATACATGCCATGAATTTCCAGGCCTTGAAGACCACCTCATTAGCCAAGCTTTTCTAGGGTTTAGGGGTTTAGGGAGTTTAGGGTTTGGGGGTTTATGGTTTAGGGGTTTAGTCCAGGTTTAAAAGGGGCTCCCTAAAGCTCTAGCCCCAAACACCCCACTCCTGCAGCTTCATTTCTGTAGTGCTAATTCAGGCGCCTGAATAATTAACAATACTATTTTGGGGGTTCCGTAGTAGAAGTATACTACACAGGAGCCCTACAAAGGAGCCCCAAACCATATTCTGATTGTTTCGGCCTCTGCATTAGCTGCAAGCCCACTTCGAATCTGCTTGCGAGGTCCCCCTGAGCCTCCAAGAACACCCCCGAGCGTAAGCAGCCAAACCCCTGGTTTAGGGTTCGGGGTTTAGGGTTTAGGGTTTAGGGGTTTAGGGGTTTAGGGGTTTAGGGTTTAGGGTTTAGGGTTTGGGGTGTAGAGTTTAGGGGTTTAGGGGTTTAGGGGTTTAGGGGTTTAGGGTTTAGGGGTTGCAGTCCGTGCTTGAAAAGGGTTTAGGAGGTTTAGGGTTTAGGGTGTCGAGCTGCTTGAAGCCCAAACCATTAAGTCGAGGGCCTTGTTTTGGCTGATAAGGGCTCCTGTTTGGGGATTCTCCAACCTACCCCCATCCCACTGTTGGGGCCCTTCGTTTAAGGCCCAAGCCCTAGAACCCCAACCCCAAAACCCTACACTCCCAAACCCTAAACCAAACCCTAAACTTCAACCCTTAGCCCCGAACTCTAAACCTCAAACTCCAAACCCTAAACCCCAAACTCCAAACCCCTAAACCCTACCGCGCACAAACCTCTCGACTAGGCCGACGGCCTGGCTCTTGAGGCACGGGTTTTAGGTTTAGGGGTGGCTTAGGGTTTAGGGTTGGGGGTTTAGGGTTTAGATTTTAGGGTATAGGGTTTGAGGTTTATTTGTTTAGGGTCGTTTAGGGTTTAAGGTTCAGGGATTCACGGGCCAGGGTTTTGGAGCAGAGCGCAACAGGTTTCTCTGCCCAGGGTCACGCTTTAGGGCTTTAGGGCATCGGGATGTTTCGGGTTGAGCCTAAACCCTAATTCCTCAAGACCTTAAACCCTTAAACCCTAAACCCCTACACCCTAATCCCCAAAGACCTTGAACCCCTAAACCTTAAACCCTAAACCCATTGAGGGCTCTCTCAAGCTCAAGGTACGACGCTTGACGTTGATCTTGTTGGGGGTTTAGGCTTTCGGGTTTTTAGGGGTTTGGTCTAGGGTCTAGGGTTGAGGGACCCACGGTTTCCAATTTATTGCTTTGCAAGGCTTGCAGAAGGGTTTGAGACGGCTCCAAAGCGTCATCTTCCCCTTTGGAGGTTGATTCCTTCGGTCCGTTGTGCTTCATAGGCTTACGGTTTAGGGTTGAAGGTTTATAGGGTCTAAGGTTTAGGGTTTAAGGCTTAGGTTTTCGGTTTAGGGTGAAAAATTATGTTTGCAGTTTTAAAGCATTTAACACGACCCCTTTAACCCCTTACGGTTTTGAAGCCCATATAGCCCGAACCCTAGACAGCCTGAACAAGCGAAAGGGAGAATACCAAAACATCCAGATTCAGATGGAGCCCAAACCCGCAGCAGAGCCAAGAATCTCCGGCCGGCCATTTTCCTCATTGCGCCGTAGCTCAACCAACAAGCGCGGATGCAGAGTTGGCACCCTCTGCTTTCAAAGGATTGGGCTGCAAAGCACCCAGCTGCATGAAAGACAAGAACAAGGTCGACCCGATCGCCCGACTGGCAAGGGAGCAGCGGAAATCGGAGTGGTTCTCGAGCCGGTTGGCACGTGATGTAACCAGGTACCCTGACCTCACCGAGGGCAGCGAGGGCGACCCCGTAAACTCAGTCAGATCCTTCAAAAAGCCATAGATGCCTGCTGCATTCTGCTGCATTGAACTACTATAAGCCCGTATATAACACAAAAGGCCTGGAAGCTAAATTCACGACCACACGTCGCGGACAATGTGCTCTCAGATTCCATAAATGTCCGCTATAGCCTCCACCCCTAAACGCGTTCTCTTGGTGATCTCCTGGGCCCTAAGCCCCGGATTCCTCAGCCGCGCAGGAGCTGCCACCCCTAAGTCGAGGAAGCCGTTCTTGGCGGTTGTCTGTTCCTCCCCGCTGCAAAACGGTCACGGGGTCAGGGTTGGTTCAATGCGAAAATAGGGGTATGATTCATTTAATCTAGGGGCCTAAATAAGTACCAATACCATTATGGGGCTTCCTTAGTAGAATTATAGTAATAATTACAAGGGCACCCAAAACCCTTTTCTAAATATTATTGCCCCCCCCCCCACACTAGGTCTAGGGTTCATTTGGGTTAGGTGAGGAGCTTGGTTTTGTTTGGAATCTCTTTGGCTTGTGGAGTTCAGGATTCGGTGCTTGCCGTTTTGGCAGTGGGTTGGGGGTTTGGGGTTGATGTTTTTAGGGTTGTGGCTTTAGGGATCTTTGGGGTTTAGGGTTGGGGAGACTGTGCTCTTGCTGGCACAACGAAGAGCTTGTGTAGTATGCAGGGAAGGCTATACTTTAATTTCCTCCGCTCTGGAACTTGGTTTAAGGTTTACGGCTTTCAGTGTTTGTCGAGGCGCTTGTGGGGCTTTCAGGCCTTTGGGGCGTAGAAGTCTGGGTTCAGTGTCAAGAGTTTGGCCGCCTAGAATGATTCCGGCATGCATGCTGTGGTTTCTCTTTTCTCGCTCGGGGTGCTTATGTGTTGTCCCACTAAGAGTCCAAGTGCCGAATGCTCATAGACTCTCCAATGTACTAACCGCCATACTTCACCAATATAGGGGCCTGAATAACTACCTATACTATTTTTTTGGGGGGGGTTCCTTATCATAATGATACTGTAAAGGATCCCAAGACCCTATTCTAATTATTAGGGCACCTAGATTACTTCCCTAAAGCCGAGGCCTGATAGTTGGCTCCAGTGGACCCTTTGTGTTACAATCCGTTCCTAGGAGACCCGAACCCTAAACCCTAAACCCTAAACCCTAAACCCTAGCTTTAATTACAGCCCCATTGTGGCACTACAGAACTTATATACCTACTATACTATGCTCTGATAGACCCTGCATCGTAGGTTCGTCCTAGCCAGGCGGGAGGCAAAAAATGCCACTATAGTATCACATACCCCGAAACTCTAGGCTAAGAAGCACGGTCGCTGTAGTAGTAAGATGCTTTGATAAATCCCCACCCCGACACCTAACCCTTCCTCACTAAGACTTTGGGTGGTGCCTTCTAAACTGCAAACCTTAACCAGAGGAAAGCCTAAACCCTGAAGCCCAAACCTCTAACCGGGCACCCGAAGCCCTGTACGTAGGTGTCTGCATAGCTAGAATAACTAGAACTATTGCTCGGGGTTCTTTGACATCGAAGTCCCCACGGCCCCTACAGAAATCTGTGTAAGAGCCCTCGGTCAAAAAAATCGAAACACCTTATTCTACCGATGAACTGGAAATTCCACTTTGATCTCATCCCTAAAGCCTCATAGCTCCTAAACCATAAACCCCAAACCCGAAACCCGAAACCCGAAACCCTAAAACTCAAACCCTAAACCCTAAAGCCCAAAACAGTTTCATCCCAGGCTTTGGAGATCCGTCCTCCTCAGCCTCCCTGTCAGGAAGATGAGGTCAGGGAGCGGATTTGGGGCCCTGGTTTTAGGGTTTAGGGCTTAGGGTTTAGGGTTTAGGGTTTAGGGTTCCCAGGATTTCCCTCAAGGGCCTGGGGCTCATGGTCGGAGGAGTGCCGAAACCCGAAGCCTTTCCTGACATTTTTATGGGTCTGGACTTCCCCCTCACCATCCCTGAGCAATGTGGGCATGAACTCCGAAGCCACTACGAAAGATTCCTGGGCTTAGGGCTACAAGGTGCTGTGCAAGCTCAAGCGGTTGTGGGTGAGGATTGCCAGCTTACATCATACCAAAGAGTCCGTGAAGATAAAACCCTGCACGAAGATCTACCTCAACCGGCGACTGCAAACCGTGCCCATATCTTGCACGGTCCGCAACACGGCTAATCGCAAAAGTGGGCAAGGCTTACGCCCTGAACCCAGAAATCACTTCAACCCAACAAGACAGCCCGAAACCCTCAACCTAGGCCTGACTACCCTGAACCGTAGTAGGGTTTAGGGTTTGGGGTTTGGGGTTTAGGGGTTTAGGGGTTTAGGGTTTGGGGTTGAGGGTTTAGGGGTTTAGGGTTTAGGCTTTAGGGTCTGGGGTTCCGGGCGAGAGAAGCCTGCTGCAAAGGGTTTGGGGTTTAGTAGGGCTTTGGGTTAGCGCGTTGGGATCCTTCTACCTCAGACCCCGACCCTAAACCCTATAACCTGAGCTTTGCAGGAAGCTTGCACTTTTGAAGGGGGCGGGTTGTGTTTAGGGATTTAGGAGTCCTCGGATCTTGGGGTTTATGGGCTCAGAAGTTTGATCTTTCGGTTTACGGGGTTCAGAACTTCTTGAATGAAGGCTTTGGGGTTTAGGGAGTTCGCCTTTATGGAAAGTTGGGGGCGAATTTAGGGAGTTGCGCACGTAGGGTTTAGGGTGTAGGGTTTAAACCCTAAACCCTAGACCCTACACCCTAGACCCTAAACCCTAAACCCTAAACCCTAAACCCTAGACCCGGATAAGGCCCTAAAGACTTCACTTGGGCTGATCGCTGAAGGATGGTGATTTGGAGATGCCAAGAGCAGCAGCTCCTGAGTACGCTGACACAGGCGGGAACAGGGGAGTGCTACGCTTCAGTTGTTCGCGGTTTGGGGGTTGTTAGGAGCTGAGATTTGAGAGATGAGGTTTAACCCTAACCTCCAGGTACCTACTATATTACTATATAGGGTACTAGAGCTCCTAGGGCCCTTTAAGGTACTCGTAGGTACCTGGAGGGTTAGGGTAAAGGCTTCTAGGGCTTTAGTCGACAGGCCAGGGTTCCGGGTACGTGCTATTGCCGCTCGACCCGACACCTCAACTGAGAAGATGCACAAACCTCAACGGCAATATCCTCTAAATTACGATGCCTGATTGGGGGATTATAAGGCTTTGCATTCAGTTCCTGCAAACACGGTGTTTTCTTCCAAGGGCCTTCAACCCCTAAGCCCTAAGCCCTAAGCCCTAAACCCTTTAGCCTCATGCCTGAATAGAGCGCGGAGGTCTTCATAAGTCGTGACAATGTCTCCTCGTGGTTCCAATACATACTGGCTATCTGAAATAGACCCCACCCCTGCAATACGTACATTGCCTGATACGCCCTAAGATGACCCGCTAAGATGTTCATGCCCAAGGTCCTTATATTATGAAGGCTCTACAATGGCCGATCTCCATACGACAAATAAAACAGCATCCCTATAGATCCTGAATGGAAAATGCGAAGCACATACTACGTCCTTGACTACACCTCTACGACCTAGGATACAGGAGCAATGGCAAAAATCAATGATCTTGCAACCCAAAGCCCTCCAATGTTGCATTTAAAGCCCCTGAACCCTAAAGCCGCGAAACCTACCTTGCACTACCAAAATCCGACTTGTTTGCGCGGTGCCTGGAAATTCTAAACTACACTAGGGTTTGGAAGAAGAGCCCGCCAAAACCGAGAGGTTATGGCGACACAGTCGCAATAATTACTAACATCATCCCCGCTCCGTTGTCCTTGTAACAGCATATTCCACATAATCCCCCGAAGCCTTGCACCGTGAACCCTACAAAATAGGAAGAACAGAAAAACCTACGAACTACCTATTGAGCCCAGAGATCACTTTAAGGTAGTGATCAAGGTCTCATCGGCTGGCGCATTGAGTTGGAGCGGCTGGCGTCCTCTCAGCGCTTCGGACTAGTTCATGGCAGAGGGGTGGGGGGGCTTAGGGTTTAGGGCTTAAAGTTTCCCTAAGCCCTAAGCTCCAAACCCTAAACCCTAAACGGGGTTGGGGTGGTTCAGTCATTTTAGGAAAGGCCTCCGTAAGGGTTTCATATGAAATTTAGGATGTATCGGGTTCAGGCTTTAGGGGGCTTTCGGTTGCTGATTCTGCAAGAGGAGTAAGGGGTATCCTAAACCCTAAACCCTAAACCCTAAACCCCTAAACCCCTAAACCCTAAACCCTTAGTCGATATCGTAGGGTTTGGTGCGGAGGGCTTCTAGGGCTTAGAACTCCTGGGGTTTCGGGTTTAGGGTTCAGGATGTCAGGGCCTGCGGTTAAAAAAGATCGGATTTCCACAGGGCTTTAGGGTTCAGGGTTTAGGGGTTTAGGGTTTTAGGGTTTTAGGGTTTAGGGTTTAGGGGTTTAGGGTTTAGGGTTTAGCGTATCTTGAACGGTGTAGGATAGAAAAGGCGGTGCAACAAGACAGGGGACGCAATGGCACCGGCAAAAAGCAGGCTAAGGAGTGGTAGCAACCAGTTACACGATTGTGGAACTCGTCATGGTTGCCAGTTGTAAACCTAGAACTAGAAGCACATGGGTAGTTCTCCAAAATAGGGTCCCTTTGGAGGGTCCTTTTTATAAGGGTGCCGTACTATATTGCGGACCTAAAAAGGGGACCCGAATTTAGAGAACCACCCACATGATTATAGATCGTCGCGGGATCCTGTGTCCTGCGGTCTAGCCCCACGCCGCATGCACTGCGAGCCCATTTTCGAGTCTTCGACCTGCCTCACAGGGTTTTAGGGTTTAGGGTTTTGGGGTTTAGGGTTGAGGGTTTAGGGTTTAGGGTTGAGGGTTTAGGTTTTAGGAGCCCTACATAGTAGCATAGTTGATGTTTGCATCACATTCTGGTATTGAAGGCTTCACGGCTTGCGCGCCAGATGAAGCCCGGACCCTGTATCCTAGCGCCGAAAGCCCAACAAAACGGCCCTAGCCTGTATAGTGTATTATAGTACTATAGCGCTCCAGTATTACAGTACCGTGTCCTAGTTTCATATTATATGCTTACCCTTGAGGTCGCTTTCTGCAAAGGCGAGCATTTATCCCCAAAGGGTCCTAAGTACCTACACAGTAGAGAGTTTAGGAGTTATGGTTAACGGTTTATAGGGAAGTGGCAAAGTAACAGGGAAGTGACGCAGCAACTTAGACACCTCCAAACCTCATCCTTCAGTCCCTACCTGGACCCTAAACAACCTACCTTTGTAGGGCTCCTTATTATGATTTCTTTATATAAGTCCTTAAAAAGGTAGGTTATTTGGGGTTCAGGTATACCCTAAACCCTGAACCCTGAAGCCTCTAGATCTTGTTTTCACACTGACTGCGCACACATGGATCCTCGCCTGGCTTGTCCGAGCTGTGAGAGTGTAAACCCTAAAGCCTGATCCAGAAAAACCTTTGAACCCCGAAGTCCTTCAACCCAGGCCCTAAATCGTGACCATGACTTAATGTAAGCGGCCCAAATAATTACCAATACTATATCGGGGGTTCCTGGAACGGTTGTGGGTTTAGGGTTTAGGGTATGTAGTCTGGGTTCAAAAAAAAGGCTCCTTTTCATAATTAATTTGGGTATGAGGGGCCCTTTCTTGCCATAGAGGTAAATTAAAAGGGATTTATGTCAAGTTGGGCTTTGGTTACTCCAGGCAGACACCAAAACGCAAGTTATGGGTTTCGGGGCGTAGGGTGAAGGGTAAACCTTGGCTTTCTGCTGCTGGGCTCTTAGGACTTTAACTTTGTTGGGTTTCTATATGAACTTAAGTATGGATGCTAAAAGTTTAACTTTTAGGAGGGGTTCAGAAGTCAGCCAAGAAAGCCTAAACCCCAAACCCTTTTCTTCTCGGAAAACCCTAAACCCTAAACCTTAAACCCTAAACCCTAAAACCCTGTTCTTCTGAGCGGGTGTTGGAGCTCGCGCTGCGAAGAAAGAGGCCACTGCACTTGGAAGAAAAAGAACCCGAACCTTCAACCCTGAAACGTAACCCTGTTGGAAAGCCCAAGGCTCCAAAGCCCTTAACCCCAAAACCCTAGAACCTAAGCCCCTAAAACCTTAAGCCCTGAACCCTAAACCTTAACCCTAAACCTAAACCCTCGACCCTCAACCTTAAACCCTCAACCCTAAACCTTAAACCCTCAACCCTAAAAGCTTAAAAACCCTCGACCCTAAACCCTCAACCCTAAACCTAAAAACCCTCAACCCCAAACTTTAAACCCTCAACCCTAAACCTGAAATCATCAACCCTAAACCTTAAACCCTCAACTCGAAACTTTAACAACCCTCAACTCTAAACCTTAAAAACCCTAAACCCTAAACCCCTAAACCCTCAACTCTAAACCTTAAAAACCCTCAACCCTAAACTTTAAAAACCCTAAACCCTCAACTCTAAACCTTAAAAACCCTCAACCCTAAATAAACTTCAAAGTGAAAAACCTTAAAAACCCTAAACCCTAAACCCCTAAACCCTCAACTCTAACCCTTAAAAAACCCTGAACCCAAAACTTTAAAAACCCTAAACCCTCAACTCTAAACCTTAAAAACCCTCAACCCTAAACTTCAAAAACCCTAAACCCTCAACTCTAAACCTTAAAAACCCTCAACCCTAAACTTTGTGGGAAAAAACCCTAAACCCTCAACTCTAAACCTCAAAAACCCTAAACCCTAAACGTTAAAATCCCTAAACTCTCAGCTCTAAACCTTAAAACCGCTAAACCCTAAACTCAAAACCCCTAAACCCTCAACTCTAAACTTCACAATCCCTAAAACCCTAAACCCTAAACCTTTTACCCTAAACCCTAAGCCTCAAACCCTCAACCCTAAACCCTAAGCCCTAAGACAGACCGAGGCTAGAGCAGGTCGGCTTGCAGCTCTGGGCCGGTGCTCTGGTCCTTAGCGACTGGGCTTTGGAGTACCATACTTTAGTACTACTTTTGGGGTTTAGGGTTTAGGATTTGGGGTTTAGGGTTTAGGGTTTAGGGTTTGGGTTTAGGGTTTAGGGTTTAGGGTTTAGGGGGACCTGTTCCTTAATGGAACCATTATAAAATAGAGAAGTCTATACTTTTTTGTTTCTCCCTGGTTACTTCAAAGCCCAGGCGACCTCCTCCTCGCCCGACCGGAGCTGGTGCGCGGCAGGCTCCGGCGTGGCAAAAAAAGGGTTTCGACGGTTTATCGGTTTAGGGGTTTAGGGGTTTAGGGTTTGGGGTTTATCGGTTTAGGGGTTTAGGGGTTCAGGGGTTTAGGGGTTTAGGGGTTGGGGTTTATCGGTTTAGGGGTTTAGGGGTTTAGGGGTTGAGGGTTCAGGGGTTTAGGGGTTTAGGGGCTGAGGGTTTAGGGGTTTGGGGTTTAGGGATTGAGGGTTTAGGGTTGAGGGCTTTAGGGGTTTAGGGGTTGAGGTTGAGGGTTTAGGGGTTGAGGTTTTAGGGTTTAGGGGTTGAGGGTTCAGAGTTTAGCCTTTATGTAGGGCTTAGGGTTTTGTCTTTACGTCTGCATTGCAGCATCATAGGGGTTTAGGAGTTTAGGGCTTGGAAAAGGAGTGCCAAGGACAGAATGTGGGTTTCAGAGCTTGGGGCTCTTTGTCTTTCTAGTTGAATAATTGGGGGACTGTTTACTGTAGTGAGGCGGTTGTGCTTTGGGGGTGAGTTTGAGTCCTAAACCGTATAAGCTTAGTTCCTATTCCCAAAAACGCTAAAGCTGAATTCCTAAACCCAAACCTCTAAAGCCTAAGACCGTTGCAGGAGTCCTAACAGGGAGTCTGAAAGGAACCCTTAAACAACCCCCCCTAAACCCTAAACCCTAAACCCTAAACCCTAAACCCTAAACCCTAAACCCTAAGCCCTAAACCCTAAACCCTAAACCTTAAACCCTAAACCCTAAACCCCCCCCTCCTCCCGTGGAGGCCGGTGTGCGAGCTGGGGGCGGGCTTGGGACTCTGCTCGTTGCTCGCCTTTCGCCTCGGCGCCCGGGTGCTCTGCACCGACGGCAGTGAGGAGGCCGGGGCTTGAAGAAAAAAAAGGGTTTAGGGTTTAGGGTTTAGGGTTTAGGGTTTAGGGTTTAGGGTTTAGGGCTTCGGTGTTTGGGCCCAAACCCCAAGGGTCCAAAGGACCCCATAATCAGGTACTTAGGTTTCGGATAGTAGTTATGTAGGTTACTATTTGGGAGAGTATATGGTTATTAGGTATATTAGGTACTTGGACCTTTAGGGAAATCATTACACAATTTATTAGGGTTAGGATGTAATTTGGGGTTTAGGGTTAGGGTTTATGTAGGGTTATAGATAGAAGCTTAAATAAGTACAAATATTAGTCCTTAAAGCTCCTTCTTATGATAGTTGTATAAAGGAGGCCAATCTATTCTAATTAGTAAGGCTTCTATATTATCGTGATGGGGGTTCTATAGGGGTGCTACATGCGGTGTTATACTAGAGTTTGTTGGCTTCTGTTTGTTGGGTTCATAGGGGTTCTATATAAGTCTGGTACATAGGGCTCTGTAGGTGTGTATGGAATTGAGGCAGTGGGGTTTCATGTCGTAGGGTTCTATAGGATTCTAAACCCCAAAAGTAAAGTTTCCAATAACAGGATTCCAAATCGGGTTTATTGGGTTCTACAGGGTGTTTGTGGAGATTCGGATTTAGGGTAGTTCGTGGTGTTTCCCCCCCGTTTACAGCATCACAAAAATAAGGCTCCAGGTCGCACCCTTAAGGCTCAACCAACGTTCTTTGAGAAAGTCGGGTAGCTTCTGCTTGGACGTCTCCTGCCCTGCAGGGTTCAGGGGTGTAGGGCTGAAGAGGTGTAGGGGTTAGATCTCAGTCAAGATGGTTGCAAGTCCTAGTCTGGCTAGACTTGAGTCCAGTAGCTAGACGGCCTATACCCTAAACCCTAAGCCCTAAACCCTAAACCCCTAAACCCCTAAACTCTAAACCCTAAGGCTTCGAGGATCATCCGATAAAAATTGGAATGGTTGTATGAGCAATGTAGCATTACTGTGACAAGGGTTGTAGAGCCAAGGTGGTTAGCATGCCCACGGGAATCGGGGAGCCTGTGGATTTGCTAGTATGGGGTAGTAGTGGTATGGTGGTGAGTCGCCCTGGTAAGAGCAGGCTCCCGTGCCCAAGCCTCCACCAACATGGTATTTCAGACTCCTCTTCAGGCTGACGGAAAAGGGGCCAAACCCTAAACCCTAAACCCTAAACCCAAAACCCAAAAAGGAAGGGCGTAGGGAAAGCGCAGGACTGTAGGTTTCAGAGTTTAGGGCATCAGGTCCCCGTTGTGAAAATCTCGCCCCAGGCTGTGACGAACTGCAAGGCAAACCTCCAAAGGACGCGTGGCACAGTTCGGGTTTAGGGCTTAGGGTTTAGGATTTAGGGGTTTCGGGCTAATTAGGGTTTAGAGTTTAGGATTTAGTGTTGAGGGTTTCGGGTTTGGGATTTAGGATTGAGGGTTTCGGGCTAATTAGGGTTTAGAGTTTAGGATTTATGTTTCAGGGTTTCGGGATAATTAGGGTTTTGGGTTGAGGGAAAAAGTGCAGTGAAAAGGGAGTTGCCAAGCTGCATCATAGCGAAGCCCGCACGCCCAACATTCAACTGCAGTCTTTCAGGTTGGGGGGGGCTCAGTTTCTTCGACCTCTCTATATAATCAATTCTTGTTTTTGGCAGCGCTGCCTCTAAAGTCCAAACTTTGCATAAACCTCAGCCCAACACAGAGCAACCACTCAACCGCAAGCTTCTGTGTGAATTTGTTCGAGCGACGGTTGACCCCAGACAGGGGCAACCTGACGAGGCCCTCGGAGTTGAAGGTAGCTCAGAAACTGAATAATCGGCATCATTGCTACTGGAGGCCCCTCTTTGATTTACTAAACCCTAAACCCTAAAACTTAAACCACCAACACCCTTGTTCAAATCATTAAAGCCCTATACCAATGCAGCGCAGGCAGACTCGAATTGGAAACTTCTGGCAACTTCCTAGCTGCTCGCGTCAAGAGCTTTGCGCAACAGTTCTTAAGCCCTATAGCCTATAGGGGTTTAGGGGTTTAGGGTTTAGGGCTAACTGTCCTGGCGTGACGTTGCAAGCCAGTTGCAAAAGGGTTTAGCCCTAAAAAAGCCCCAAAACCCCAAAGTCCCAAACCCTTAAACCCAAAAGAGGCTGCACGCACCTCCTTAAACCCAGGAACGGTGCCAGCGAGGTGCCTGTGGAGGTGCTGCGCTGGGAGGCGCCACCTAGCCCAAAGGAGTGCCCTGCAGGCGCTCGGGGGATGTTGGACGGGCTTAGTTGTTTGGGGTAATACAGGGTCCGTAATAATTTACTGTTTTGAGGGTTCCTTATTACAGTTATAGCATAATATGCACCAAAACCCTCTTCTAATTCTTAAGGCCCCTACATTATTGAGGGTCTTCAGCTTAGAGCTTCGGGTGTGTGAGACTCTTGGGGTTTTAGGGCTTAGGGGGTTAAGGTGCCGGGTTTTCGGGTTTACATTCCTCAAGAGAGTCTTGAAGGACTTCAGGTCAGGTTCAGAAAATGTCCGTGAAGGATCGTGGGACTTTGTTCTGTGGAAAGTCTTTTAACTGAAAGCTGCTGTTCAACTTCGATGATCCAGGGTTTGGTGGCTCAGAGAGTTCAGGGGCTTCGAGTTTAGGGATCAACGTGTTGCTCTGAGCCTCCCTTGTGTCCCCGGCAGCTGCACCTGTAGGCTGGCTGCAGAACAAACTGGGTATTCGTCCTGTGGCTGGTCCGTTAGGTTGGAGATCATGACCGTAGCAGAGTTTCCTCCAAAATACAAACCCTTCTCACGAACCCCGGACCCCCGGCCTACTGATTCTAGGGATCAGAATCATACTAAAAATAAGCTCCCTTATATCACCACCACAATCGACGCCCAAATTCCTTTTATTCATGTTCAAAACTAATCTCCCTACAGTACCAGCATCGACCGCAACCCAAACGTGTCCTGAGCGTTAAAGCAGGCGATGTGTGGGCCGCAGAGGTCCTCCTGGCCGCTGATGTCATTTATGATGCTGCAGCTGCTCAGTCGTTTGCCCAACTTGTGGCCAAACTGCTGAAGCTCGACCCCTTTTGAAGGTTTGGGGGGTTGACGGTTTACAGCCTGGACACCTGCTGCAAGACAGATTTGAAGTTTACGGTCTTCAATCTGTTCTTGAAGAAAGAGAGAGAGAGAGAGAGAGAGAGAGAGAGAAAAAGAGAGAGAGAGAGAGAGTAGAGAGAGAGAGAGAGGAGAGAGCGAGAGAGAGAGGGAGAGACAAACAGACAGAGGCGAGAGAGAAAGAGAGGGAGGGCACTAACAGGCTTTTTGTCTCCGAACACACGTATCATGAAGCTCATGATGAGTGTTTCCTCCCAGCAGAACCAAGGAAGACAAACGCCACTGCGCTGTACATGTCCTTGGAGAAGCGCGTGTATTTTTCAGCCACAACGCTGAAGTCCGAGGTATCCGTTTATCCCCAGTTTCTGGATGACTGTGCATTGCTTGGCCTGGAGGTGGCCAAGATCGACTTATCGGAAATTCCTGTTCATTTCAAGTACCTCCGTTCGCGCTTTTATGAGCTCGTAGCCATCACAGCAAAAAGGCGCCTCGCATTGCGTGTGTCGGTCCATCCTTATAGGCCAAAAGGGCCCTGTAAAAGTGTAGGCAAAGGGTTGAGGGTTTAGGATTTTAAATTTCTAGTGATGATCAGAGCCTGGGTTCGAAAAAAGAGGATTTCTAGCGAATATCCTGAGCCACGTAGAGTCCATGTGGATCCCTTCGAGACGATCCTTCTCCTGTCCTTGCAAAGTCCGCTTCTACAGCGCAAAAGGCCTGACTTATAAACACCGAACCCGGCAGAACACCCACTTATCGCAGCTTCTGAATTGAAATGATATAGGGGAGGTAGCCATGAATTGGGGTAAGGCTTAATGATTCTCTATCCCCTGAATCCAACTAGGTTAATTTCATAGGGGGCTTAGCCATGACCCCCAAGACGGCTTGGGGATGACATGTTCAGCCTGTTTTTTTTTTTAATCTGGGTCCTTGCATAGGAGTAGTCTGAGTCCGTCTTCAGGCTTGTGTATCAAAGCATGCGAATCAAAGCCCCTGGCGGTTCAGGTAGTCCGTTGCTGAGCACGCAAGCCCAGTTACCTATGCAAGGCGTTATCATGCCATGGGCTAGGGTTTTTGAGGGACAACAACTGATCAATAACTCACTCTACAGGCACATCGTCTTCGAGGAGAACCGAGGCCCTAGGCCCTAAACCCCTTCAATACAGGTGACAGTCTTCTAGGGCTTACTGTCAAGATCCCAGTAAAGAATCCCTGACTAGAGAGTCCCTTCTGTTGCAGTCTGACTTCGGTGTTTGTACAGCGTGGCTGAGTTTCCGGTCAGAAGAGCCGTCTAGAAGCCTGATGGGAACCCGTTCAGGATAACACCCTGAACAAGACTTCACGCTTCGAAGCAGGATCGGCAAGAGGCCTTCAAAGTGGCGGTCGTCCCGATCTCAGATTCGACGTGGGGTTGCGGAGGTTTGGGGCTTAGCGGCTTGGGTTTTAGGGAGTCAGCTATATGCAGCATGCAGAGGAAGAACTGAGGGTGCTAAAGTATTAAGCCAAGACAGAATTCTGAACACAAGGTCGCTGCTATTAGGGTTTAGGGTTTAGGGCTTAGGGTTTAGGACCACGAATGATCCGGGCGAGCTCCAATCAAGCCTTTGTAAAAGGACCACGAATGATGGGCAGACCTGCAGGTTTGGTCTTGGGTTTACAGCAAGCTACCATGGGCTACAGCGGTTCTCCGATCTGAGTTTTGGATGGTAGTTCACTGTTCTGGTGAAGTGAAAAAGCTGCTAGATCCGATACCCCCACCTCAAATAGCCCTTAATACATATATACATGTGCATGCATATATATATATATATGTATGCTCGCCCCCCCCCCATGATCTA